TGCTTAAAGCATATACTGTACATATGACAATATCTTAAACCAAGTTGGATCACTGGTTCCTCTAGCGACTTTGGCAGTCATTATACATACTGCCTCCCTTACCTTTTTAATTAGGAGACTGGGATGCAGCAAAGTAAAGCATCAATCTACAACACAATACTCATTTCTAGGAATACTTCTCCAATGTTTGACATGCTGGTACTTTACACACACACAGTCCTTTTTTTCTCTTTTGCTCTCTGTGTGTCTGTCTGCACATAAATGCAAGTCAATTTTTCTCTGAGCATTGCCCATCGTTTGCTTTCTTTGAAAATGGATGTTTTGTTATGGCTCGTGATACAAATCTGTCATCTGGAAGTCTCCCCTCCTTCCCCCCCAGCTTTCATTCAGAATGTGAGCACAGCAGTTTTTCCTTTAACCTCAATTCCTGGGAAATGGATGTTTTATGACTGTCCTTCTGTGGCAACCCTTTTATAACTGGGCAAGCCCCTCTGTCGCAGCCATCTTGTCAGAATGCCTATTCTTTCAACATGCGTCCCATGATCTAAAGACACTGGAGATCCGCATTTTAACTGCTAGTAACTTCCACAGTCTCAGCTAGGCAACATCTATCAGTCTATCAGCCTTCCTTCCTTCCTTCCTTCCTTCCTTCCTTCCTATGCCATTGTTCGAACATGACCTGATTTCTTAGTAAACCTTTGAATACAGTCTGTAGCTTTTATTCTTCTACAACAACTTCACTGGAATTTTTGCCAGATAGGCTGCTGCCTGTTTTAAATAATCATTGTCCCCCAACTGATAATGTGAAGACAACAGGACAACATGGAACAGAAGACAAAATAAGCAGGTAATGGTTTCCCGGCATCCCTTTGCCTCTTTTGAGGTCCCAGTAAACACAACCGTTGCCTGGCTACACATTTTGATATTTTACTCTAGCGCTGCGGGGAAAGAGGTCTTAGTACACTGATGGTTTGTGTAAGAAGGAGGACAGTCTCCAGGGTTCACTGAAACCATGCCTAGCGATCAGGGCTGATCAATCCAGAAAAACTAAGGATTTCCCGGACACCTGTCCTATGTCAGCGTTTGTCGCTGCATGTAGAGAGATGGAGGAGAAGCCGTCAAGGTAGCAAAAATGAAAGCCACGTTAGAAGAGGGGTGTGCAACAGGACTGCCAGGTGTCTACGAAACTGAAGGTAGAATTGGTAAAGGTAAACAGAATTACGTCAAGCAGAATGAGATGCTCGCGGCACACAGACAATGTAGCACAGGCAGGAGAAGCAGCCCAGGAGCAGAGTTAATATTCCTGGCAAGTGTCAGAGATTAAATAGATCATCGCTAGAGGATGCAGGACCCAAAGGAGGAATGCCTGGGCTTGAAGAATAAATAGAAAACCCTGTGCATCTAACAGCCACATGACCATCACATTTAGCCTGTTCTTATGAACATTAAGAACAATACGTACCATATTTTTCTGTGTATAAGATATCCCCATGTATAAGACACCCCCTCCACTTTTCTAACCCAAAATTAAGAAATCTAAGTGGAGCTTAGCAAGTGGAGGGGAAAGCAGGGATCAAAGCCCTGCAGGATCGCTTTGATCTCTGCTTTCCCCTCCACTTATTTTTGTTCTCTCCTCAGCTTACTTCCGTGTATAAGACGACTCTCAATTTTTAGTCTCAAGATTTGAGACAAACGTGTAGTCTTATACACGGAAAAATACGGTAGGTGGTTCATGAGTACTTGAGCTTGGTGGATTGTGGGAGTCTATGTTCCCACAGTGGCAGGAATCATCAGTGATGGTTGGCTCTGTGGGAACGGAGAGATCTTTTAGCTGCAACCTTCCTCCAAATGCAACGTTTCAACATTACAGAAAAGCCGGCCACTGGTAACGGTGGACTTAAAATAGCTCAATGGAACACATCAGAGCTCAGGGTGAGAGGGACACCCCCAGGGAACATACATATGCCAAAATACACCGGGAGTCAATCAGGAGTGGTCTGTGAAGGAAAGAACCCAACTATAGACATGCCCTCTTCTTCATACACCACAGCAATGGAAAGTGAGATTTCTCTTGCTTCAGAGGGAGTCTCTAACAATTGAACTACTGCAGGGGACTCTTTATTGAGCCATCCGTCATTATTGACTTTACCATACCAAATGATGAAGTGCATTTACTAAATATGCTCCTATTTCGGGTGGCTGGTGGAATATTGCTCTGCATTTGCTAGAGAAACTGTGGGACACCTTGGCCTACTCACTGCAAAACATTTACTAAAACAGAGACGGTTCGACCACTGGGTTCAAACCCATTTAGGATTGTTAGGCACCCTAAAAACGGCTCCGTTATACAAGAACACTTTAACCTTTGCCTTTAAATCTCCCATCTTATTTTACTGATTTAATGAGTTTTTGATTGTAGAAAAGCTTTTACTTGGGCACGTTTTGATATGTTACCCACTAGCTAGTTGATTAGGATGCTACACAAATTCCATATCACGAGAGACTTTGTTCTTGTGATCAAAAATCAGTGGAGAATTTGACACATGTAGTGCTCTATTGTCCGCTTTTAGAGACCTATCGTGAAAGACTTGTCAACCCTATTTTACAAAAGGTAAAGGTAAAGGTTCCCCTTGACATTTTTTGTCCAGTCGTGTCCGACTCTAGGGGGAGGTGCTCATCCCGTTTTTTAAGCCGTAGAGCCAGCGCTTGCCCAAAGACAGTTTCCGTCGTCACGTGGCCAGCGTGACTAGGGGACACTGCTTTACCTTCCCACCGAGGTGGTCCCTATTTATCTACTCGCATTTACATGCTTTCGAACTGCTAGGTTGGCAAGGAGCCTGGACAAAGCGACAGGAGCTCACTCCGTCGCATGGATCCGATCTTAGGACTGCTGGTCTTCTGACCCCGCATCAGAGGCTTCCGTGGTTTAGCCCGCAGCACCACCACGTCCCCCTTAGAGAATTATTAGAATCATCAGAATTATTAGAATGCTTTACAAAAACATTCTAATAATTCTGAACAAGAAAAGCTTAAGATCCTACTTTCCAACAGAGACAAATTTGTCACTTTCTGAGTGGCACGGTTTATCTCTACATTGTTAAAAATGAAATCTTTATCCCCCACCCCTATCAATTAAGTCAATACTTAAGTAACTGTATCTTTAGCATTATTCCTCTTGGGATAAGTGCTTTCTGTTGGCATGGATTAATGTCCTCCATCTGCCTTTGCCCTCTTCTTAGATGTTAAAACGTTGTGCCGGAATAGAAATCAACTTGATTCGATTTTAAATGGCTTTTAATATTGTAATGTATTGTATTGCATTGTATTGTATTGTAATGGACTATATTATATTGTTTATATTGTTTTATATTGTTTTACCTGATATATGTTGCAATGGCCTGTGTGCCACGCAACAAACTTATTTTTGCTTGCTTGCTTGCTTGCTTGCCTGCCTGCTTGCCTGCTTGCTTGCCTGCTTGCTTGCTTGCTTGCTTGAGAAACTGAAGCTACTGCATGCCTAAAAACTTCCAGGAAGTGTGATTGTCTTCTAGAGCAGGGGCTCCCAACCTCAGGTCCCAGATGTTCTTGGACTAAAATTCCCAGAAGCCATCACCACTAGCTGTGCTGGCCAGGATTTCTGGGAGTTTTAGTTCAAGAATATCTAGGGAACCAAGGTGGGGAACGACAGCTGTAGAAGAAGGTGGAGGCACTGCCCTTGTGTCTTCTTTTACCATGAGACTGTGTCTTCCCCCTTCTCAAAATCTTTTGGCTCATGTTGTGCTGCTAAGTTTCAGTGGCATCCAGAGACAGAAAAGCGGGTTTGGGGTATGTGTGTTTTTGTCTATGAAACTGGCTCCTGGGCCTACAAAAGTTTTCCACCCCAGACTAAAGGGATTTAAATATATTTTTGCTTCAACCATGTTATTAATAATAGCATTATATTTTATAGAACTTGTATTAATCAAAGAGAAAACACATTCACCATTGCAAGAAACATTGCAATTTCGAACTGGATAAGGGGCTCCAATCTAAGAAAGAAAATTCAGAGTAGCTTTATTGGTCCTGGTGGAGGGAAGGACTAGGTTCCCTTTGTCTTTTAAAGTTCAATTTGTTTACATAATTATGGTTAGATTGGCTATTTTATATATTGTTTTTGATATATGTTTTGCTCGTTGTGATTTTTATTCGTTTTGCATTAAGTTTTTATTGGAAGTCAATTAAATGTTTTTAAAAAGGATTTAAAAAAAAGAATAGGGTTTAAAAACCCAAAACATGTCACAAAACACATGAAATGGCACCAAATATGAAGCTTCAAAAGCTTAAATAACCACTAGTCGTTTTTAACCCCCTTAGGCACCTGCTAGAATCCGGACTGAGTCTGTGGCTACTGTAAAGTGAATAGCTAAAGAAGATTCACTTTGAGAGCTTGTTGAAAAAGTCCTAATCCTTCTTACCAGCAACCTTGTTTTTCACACAGTGACAATTTGCTTATTTGCTTTTAATTATTCAATTGTATTTTAATTAGTGTAGAGTCAATTGCTTTTTTATTTTTAACTTATTATGTTTTTAATTCTATTCTTTTTAATATTGCGAACCAACCAACCAACCGACCAACCAACCAACCGACCAACCAACCAACCGACCAACCAACCAACCGACCAACCAACCAACCGACCAACCAACCAACCGACCAACCAACCAACCGACCAACCAACCAACCGACCAACCAACCAACCGACCAACCAACCAACCGACCAACCAACCAACCAACCAACCAACCTTCCAACCAACCATCCATCTTTCTTGCAGGTGGTGGATATCAATAGAACTAAGCCCAGACTTCTCTTTTAGACAGAGAAGTCTAAAAGAAAAGGCGCCTCCTTTTGAGAAAGTTTAGGAACTGCACCCTCTAAACACAGATAAAAGTAGGAAAGGGATTAGTTCAGGGGAAGCAGAAAAGAGAGAGAGAGCCATGCCGATGGTGGGCCAAGCAGCTCTACCTGAGAAGAAATGAGCTTTGAAGCCCTTCTTGGAGACGGTGTTGTCAGACTTGAACTCAATACGCATGTTGTTGTACTGGGAGGTAATCACATCGGGTTTTTCCGCCCCACAAAACTTGCCATGCAGCTTTGCGTCAGCATTAAGTCCACTGCGCACTTCGACAAAGTCATACTTGCATACCTGTGGGGAAGACAGGCAGATATTATTAATCACAGATTGGGGAGGGAGGGAAGGAGCGAGAAGACAGACAAGGATTATTAAAGCAAGAGTCTGTCCTGCACCAAGTGCCAGCCTTTAACACAGCCCACAATAATGTTTCGAAGTGGAAAGCAGATCTTAGAAATAACGCATTGGATTTAACACATCAAAGTGAAATGAAAATTGCTACTTTTACATTGAGCAAGAGGACTGCATCTTATCTTTAAAAATGTTTTCAAAATAATATTAAAATGCTGCTTTCAAAGCACTGATCGTCAGATGCATCAGCTGACGTGTTCTTCTGTTCATGCAAAAATAAATATTTTCATGTTAGCAGATCAGACAGCTGTCTCTTACCTTAAACAAAACACACAGGTTTCTGAAGTAGGAAAAAGCTAAAATTCAACAAAACACTACCTTTGCCTAACCTGAAGAAGATCTTGAAAGCTTGCACTTCATGGTGGCGATATAGTAACACAAATATTATTTGGAAAACATTTTTCTACAGACACTAAGGTGGCTCAGAGATCTCCTTAATGTCTGTATTAATTCTAAAACCAATAAAGGCACACAATAGGTTTATTACTACATTCTGCCCTGAACATGCAGAATGATCTTGGTCTTGTAATGTACCATACACCTGGCACTCGCACAGCGTACAAAACTCACAGGCATTTTCTGCTTCTTAATCCCTGGCAATGCACAGCAGCTAAATATATTACTAAGAAATAACCTGATGTCTCAGCAGAAGATGTTGTTCATAATGCTGAATACTCACATCGTTGCCCTCTGTCTCAAAGAAGTCAAATTGCAGGGATATGCGGTACTGAGTGGGTGCTACCAGCTGCCAGATACAGTTCTTGTTGGGCGGGTATTCCTTTGGCCACCCTGGGCTTGTGATGGAGCCATTGAGTTTGGTCAGAAACCCACCGCAGGCAGCTACAGAACAGAAAACCCAGCAGATCAGTCATGGAGGATCCACTCGTGGTCCAAACAAATTACACGTTGGCCATCACTGTTGTAGGACAAAGGGGAGTGGAAGCAACTTTCTGATCCTATATAAGCCCGTACTTATACTCTGTTCACCATTTGGAACCCTCCTCTGAATGCTTTTCCTACATAAGGATTTGTGGATATTTAAAGGCCGTTTTGAACTGGTGCCAGCTCTGTAGAATTCCTGTCATGGGCTTTCCTTTCCTCACTCCTATAGTTTGTTAAACATTTTGCTAGGACCTGGCTTTTTCAAACAATTTCTGATTAATACAGCTAAGTGTTAGCCTTTGCTGGTATCCAGTACTATAATTTCATTCTACAGGGATTATAATTTTATTCTACTGAGATTCTCGTTTGGATTCTTGTGATTGTGTATCTTGAATTTCTCAGTTGTACTAATTTTAAACCATGAGGTGCTTTGGGTTTGCTTTGCTTTTACTCTGATGAAGAAACTCACTTGTCAATTCATAAATTAAATACAATCTGCCCAGCCATCTTAAAGTATAATCTTTAAGTATAAGTATAAGCCATTTTAAAGTATAATCACACAGCAAGAAAAGATTGCGTCTGATCACATTGGAAAGGATTATTTTGCTGGGACTGATCTCCCCTAAACTGTCTGTTCTATCTTTGCGGGACATGTCTCCCCCTGCCCCCCAAATTTTAGCCCTGCCACTAGACCATCGGGCACGGACTGGGGTCCATCTGGGTTACTATTGTGCTACGTCATGTGATTGCTAGGAAATAACATGCACCAGGTGGTACCACAAGTGGTCAAAAACGGTGACCTATTTCCTTGTCTGATTGCACCATTAGTCTCTGTAAGTACAAGAAGACATGGATGACTGCGAAGACCCCCTGCCCCTCACACTCACCTTCACACCTACGCTTGTCTGAAGCCAACTCATACCCCGGATCACAGGCACACTTGTAACTGCCAAGGGTATTGACGCAACGTTGCTCACACCCACCATTGTTTGCTCTTGAACACTCGTCCACTTCTAGGATAACAAAAACAGCCATGTATCAATGTATGCCTGCGGTATATTCCCAAATGGCATTCTGTCCAAATTAATCCATCAGGGGTATCAACTTTGCTTTTGGTTTCATTTTCAGGCCTTGTAAGTCACAGCGGTAGCTGTCTATAATTTGTCTGCACTCTCCGTGAAGGAGGTGCGCTTAGCCTGAGGAAGTGGATTTCATCCATGAAAGCTTGCTACATGTTTAATTTTTTTAGTGGTCCAATGAAAGATCTCTCCCACTCTTGCATTTATGTAATCTTGGGGAATCACACGGCCTATTCCTTGTTCTTTCTGTCTGTATGGAGAGAGAATAACTTCCCTTTCCAACAAAGGGAGAACTACCATAACCACAGGATAGACCAGCCAGAAGGAGACGTCTTCTCTGGAGGCAGAAAAGAAATTCATCCTGGGAGTAAGAAGTTAGTCAGCCCAACAGCAATGCAACTATTTTCCTTTGTCAGACCTGCCCCCCAGTGGCCAAAACAAGAACACCTCTACCATCTCTAGACAATCTCCCCAAAATTATCTGAGACAAATGCTCCATATTTGAATGGACTGCTATCTCCAGGGAATGCCATGACTTAAAGCCATGATGTTCTGTCTCTAATCAAAGACAGGTCAAGTTGTTCTACTGAATCTAATTTAGAATCACTACTGCCTTCTTTCTGCTGGAGAACTGTGGATGCTCAGCTCAACAGCAATACAGGATCCGTTCCTCCTCCCACAGAAATCTGTTATTTTCTTGGCCCGGGGCAACAAGAGGGTCAGGAAAAGGGTTGTACCTTTGAAGAAGTTGACGGCAAATCCAGCTTTATTGATGGAACCATCTGACACAAACTTCATCCACAATTTGTTGGAGGTACTCTTAATGTCATCAGGCTTATCATAACCACAGTACCTTCCAATGAGGCTGCCTGATTCTGTGTTACCATCCCGGATCTCCAGGTAGTCATAAGCACAGCTGTCATGCCGCTCAATCTATGGAATTGGGTGAAAAAGATTATGGAACAGCACGCATTTGTGCTGTGCTTGATGGGTTACACCTCCCCCTTTGGTGTCTGTATTTTTTTTCTAGTGCCAGGTGAAGGCTGTTTAAAATGCTTCTCAGGTTTTTGAGGTGCCTGCTGAGGTTCCTGATGGACTTGCTCTAATTTAATTGTTTTATGCTACAGTATGTGTATTTTGTATTGCAGTTGTGTTTTTATTGTTCCTATCATTGCTGTTTTGCTTTCAAATCGTGTATCCCAATATGTACACTTACACTGCCACTGTTTTGTTCATATTTTTAAATAATGTACACAACCCAGGTAACTTTTACAATGTATTGGGGCTGCTTATATACTGCCCCATGGTAGCTGAGTATATTGTTATATACCGTGGGGTGGTATATAAGCAGCTTTGCTATTATCCACAGGGATGTTGGCAAGTGTTTGAGTCCAAGTTTTTGATACCAAGTCTGAGTCCCTATTAAAAACAATTTTCTCCCCCCTTCCCAGATCAAAGGGAAGGGTGGTTGGGGAGTCCAAATTTTTAGGGGGGAGGGATTGAGTCAAATCCAAGTCAAGTCACCGGTGTGACTTAAGTCCGACTTGACACTGAGTCTCGCGAATCAAGTCCCCATCCCTCAGGGTCCATAGCATATGGCGCACTGAGATATCCAGTCCCAGGAGAGACTTTTATCATGCACTCTTTATGAATGAATCAATTGGCTCTAAGCAGGATCCAACTGATAAGTCAGAGAATGTGTCGGAAACATGACTATGGTTTCCAAAATCTTCGTCTGTTGACTTGCTCCCTGCTGCATTCAACTGCTGATACAATTCAGTTGACCCCCTTCTCTTGGGCACAAAGATCCTAGAAGAAGCTGAAGGCCAAAGGCTTCACTGCATTCATTTGGAAAAAGCAACCAGGCCACGGAAGCCCTTCCCCCCCAGTACCAGTTTCAGAAGAGGGTTCTCTCCTCCCTGGCTGCAACCTGGGAGGAAAGAATGTTAAAAAAAAACCTGATAATGTCAGCAGCTGTAACTGGCATTTTATAAAATCAAAAAGTGCACATCGAACACAAGGGCACATTTAATGTCATATCATGTCCAAATGCAAAGGCACATCTAACATTGTGTCTAGAGACGGGCACAAACTCCCAGTTCGTCCTTAGGAAAAAACAGACGTTTGGGGGCTTCCCTGCCCTGCCTACTCCAGCAGGCGCCCACTTAGAGGCAGTGCTCTGGCTTCCCTGCCCTGCCTCCTCTGGGCACTGCCTCTGTGTGGGCAGTTGCTGGAAGAGGCGGGGCTGGGAAAAGCTGAACACTTGTTGGTCTGAAAGACGAACCAGCACGAACCACGAAACTGGTGGTACATGCCCATCTCTGGTCATGTCCATTTTGGTCTCGAAGGCTACTTTGTGCCAGCCAACCTGGTTGAATGCGAAATGCTACAAGCATGTGGGAAAACTCCTTGACAGGACAGCAGCGTTTGGGACTGCAAGGTTGTTACCTCAAAGGATAGGAAGGAGAGGCCCACGTGGTATCCTTCTGAGACAGTAATCTTCCAGACACATGATTTATTGGGCCGGTAGTCATCTGGATAGTTGGGAGATTGGATGTGGCCGTTATCTTTCTTCACTTCTCCCCCACAGATGGCTGGTGAAAGACCATAAGAGAACAAGAGAGACATCCTTCTTAGAAACCTTGTTTGCCACCTTAAGAAAAGGGCGTGGATGCGTCCCAAAATACGTGTAACACTGGAAAAGGGAGAGACTCGCCAGAAGCCCAAGAAAAGCTGACCTGGTTGCCTTAATGCCACACAGAAACAACCCAAAATGTTGAGTTAGGGAATTGGCTTAGGCAAAATATCAGAGGTCTTCTACCTTTGGAACCGGGATAAAGGCCCTGAAGCAAAGGCACCCGTATTCATTTGCTCCCTGATATTTCAAAACAGAATAGGCAGTCCTTGGAAGAGCACAAAACGAGGGACTCTGAGTAATGCCCTCTATTGTTTAAGAGAGAGAAACTCAACTGGGGAACCACCTGCTGTCTTCGCAACAGAATATTTGACATGTTGGCTTCCTCTCTCTTCCCTTGCCTCTCCTGCCCATGGATGGATCTAAGGCAGGGGTTGGCACTTTGGGCAGGTCTGGGGACCCATTTCTAGCCCCCATCCCAGTAAAACTTATTGTCAACCCCTCCACCTCCTTCAATACTATCTATTTTTCAAAATGAAGTTACTGACGCCAGAGTTCTGTTAGAATCGCCCAATGTAAACAGGCGATCAAGCAAGGGGGTGAGTGCTCTCTTGCAGGTTGTCCATCATGCGCTCAGGCTTTTTCCAGTTGTGCAGTCCTCTGCATGTCCACTCACACATCAGGTTGGGCCAGCCTGCAAGCCACAAATGATTTTGCACAACTTCCCCTGTGCGCAGATTTTTTTTCTCAACACAATTTTGGCTTGAAAATTTACTTCTTCTTTTTTTTTAACAAATCGAAGAAGGAGAACTGCTGCTTCCAGAAAAGTTGGTTCTCCTTGTTTGGATGCCCCCCCCCATTTCCTCCTAGATCGCAGCAGTAGAAGGTGAATTGGGGAGTACGCACCAAAAAAACCAGGTGGGGGTATATATAGAGCCTGAGGGCTCTGTGTTGCTCCTTTTTGATCTATGAGAATAGAAATGGTCTGGACTGACAGAAAGGTTAGTGGGAGTGTCAATGCTTCAAAAACAGCAGAAGGCTTGGTTGTGTGGTCATCTAGAAGCAGAGGCAAATATGGGCAGAACAGTGAGAATGGGTTACTTTGGATTAATCCAACTAGAGTAGACCAATGAAGGCAATTCTTTGATATGCCTTTTGTAGCCTCTGTTCTCCTAGGTTCCATGGTATTTTAGGGCAGCCCGTTAGGTCAACGTTATGAAATGCTATGAAGCTGTGAGCCTCCTCACTCTCCTTCTGTATGCACACAAATGGATACCTGATTTTCCCATGTTGGGAGCCCAGCAAAGATAGAAATTCTATTTGTGAAGGCTTTCACGGCCGTGTTCTGATGGTTGTTGTGGGTTTTTCGGGCTCTTTGGCTGTGTTCTGAAGGTTGTTCTTCCTAACATTTTGCCAGTCTCTGTGGCCGGCACCTTCAGAGGACAGGAGTCATAACTGAGACACCAGAGCACAGACAGAGTTCTGACTCCTGTCCTCTGAAGATGCCGGCCACAGAGACTGGCGAAACGTCAGGAAGAACAACCTTCAGAACATGACCAAACAGCCCGAAAAACCCACAACAACCAAAGATAGGAATTGCTTTTTTTAAATATTTAATCAACTGTCAGTCTGTCAAAGATTACTATAATAAAGGGCATATTTTTTTTCAGAAAAATCATTCAGCAGAGTACTGTATTCCAAATCAAATTTTATAGACTGTTCTGTCTGATTCCATCTCATTATTATGGCCACATTCTGAAATACATTACTCTAGCGAAGGCTATACATAGCATTGCCTTCCTCTAGTGGCCAGTGTTGGTAAGCTCACCTTTAGAAATATATATGTCCAGGATTTTTCTTTTAAAATTTTTAAAATTTTTCAGACCATGGATAAATGAATCAGCAGATACCAATTCAGCAGATAGGTCGGTCCTACTATATATGCAACAGATTAGTGCCTTCAAATAACATCCTCTCTTCTAGGACTCTAAATTTGTGTCTGCCCCTTTCCCACCCGCAATTTACTCTGCCCAGATCGAGAAGGGGGGGGGGAAGTGCCATACCTTCATACACTGCAAAGAAACCTTTGTTGTTCCAAGTGGTGGTGCTGAAGAACTCGATCCAAAGGCGGCTGTCTGTGGAGATGATGGGCTCCGGCAGTTTATTGCCGCAGAACCTACCTGGAGAAAAACCACATGCTTTCTTGGGTATGTAACTGGTCCTTCTCATGCGTTCCTACCAAGCATGAAAACCTTACCCTTGCTTTTCTTGGACGCACACAAAAATCTGCCTTGCCCTGTATTCTAAGTCCAGAATGAGACGCCCTACAAACTCAAAATGGTCTGCAGACTGCACAAACCAGTAACTAGGAAATAAAGTATGTTCTTACAGGCTCTTTCACACTTGCTTACGGAGTCATGATAAAAACTGGGAGGTTTGGTTGCTAAAGCCATGCAAAATTTATAGGCCAATGAGAGACAACTTTCCGAGCTAACCACAAGGCAGAACAGCTTGTGTCCGAGCAGATTTTAAATCAAACACAGTCTTTAGATCAAGAAGCAATTTTCCTTTCTATGCCAAATTGCAGCTGTATCTAATCTAGGTGACTTTATCGTGCACAGACTGGTCACAGAACAGCAAGGAAGATGAACAAATGCACACATGTCATTTGTCCAGAGTGCTCTGCCTTTGAGTAGAGGGCACCTTGTTACCAAATAAAACCACCAGATGATGTAACAGAAGAGTGCTGTGTGTTTTATTCATATGTAATTAGCTCTCCATTGCTGGATCTCTAAATGTAGCCGAGGATGAAAGAGCTGCTAATGACGGTAAAGGAGCCGTAATTAACGGTTACAAGCAAAATAATGAGTGCCAGACCAAGCGCTGCAACACAAAGTGGCAGAATGAGGCGGAAACCATTTTTCTTTTCAGCCAGAGTAGATTTCCCAACATTCATGCCTCCATTTCTGAAGAGGAAGATATAAAATTGTTATTATATCTCAAATCACCATTCTCCAAAGGCTACACTCATCCTACGGACGAGGAGAAATAGAAAACGAAATACATTTTAATCCGACCCTACCCAAATTGGAATGAAGATAGTTAGCTGGTGCATTGCAGAAGGTTAGTAGATGGGACTCAAGAGGCTCTCCCAGTATTAAAATCCATGCTTCTATGGGATCTAGCCACTCGTTATGGCTTGGCCACTAATATATTCCCATTGGTTACCTCGCAGATTGGCCTTCTTCGAGAACCCGTCTCTCACCTCCACGTAGTCATACCAGCAGAGCCGACTTCGGTACATATCCATGACTGTAAAGTTCAGAATGATCTGGGAAGTAAGTAGAAATGGCACCAACCTAGTTAAGAAGCAATAACCAAACATTCCTTCTGTGTCCTTTATTCTACACCCTCTTCTTCTCCACCAAGATCAGTAACGCTGCTAATGTTCAGAATGATCTGGGAAGTAAGTAGAAAAGGCACCAACCTAGGTAAGAAGCAATAACTAAATATTCCTTCTTTATTCTACACCCTCTATTCTCCACCGAGATCAGTAACGCTGCTAAAGTAACAGTTGCTGTGAATGAGTCAAGAGGGAGACCTTAAAGAACTCATTGGTCACTTCTTAATGAAATGTGTAATATGGAGTCTGAGAACAAGCTTCCAAAAGATGTAATTTTACTTCAAAACCGCACATTCAGTATTTCTGTCCCCTCATCTTGAACAGAAGTGTATAGATCTATGTGGGCAATATTTAGTGAAGTATTAAGGAATGCCACATAATTCAGCAGAGTTCCTCATCTCCCTGTCTGTTTTTCCTTTCTTTTTCTAGAATCTAATGTTCTGAACATCAAATGAAACATAAAATTGACATTGCATGTTTTATTTGTGAGTGGAGGAGCAGGATAAATGGACTACGGAAGACTGCCTTGTAATGCTAACAAGAGTCAGTAGAGTGTTGTGGATAGAGTGTCAGATTAGGACTCAAGGGTCCTGGTGTTCAAATCTGTATTCCTCCACAGAAACTCTCTGGGTGTGTGTGAGACTATGAGAAAACCACTCCTTAAATATCTCACAAATCCTTGGAAACCCGACTAGAGTCACCCTAGGTCAGAATCAACTTGACAGTACATAATACATAGAAACACACCTTATAATGTCTTATTAGGCTTTGAAAGTCAATAGCTACAGAAAGGCACACGATAACTATGAGCCAAGTTAAGACTATTTGAAGATTACAGCTTAATGATGCTTGGCTGAGTCATTTGTTACTTATTCAGAATATAGGACTTGGGGTTGAACTGGTAAAAACACTCCTTAAATCATCATCATCACCACCAGCAGCATCACCAGCATCCTAGAACTGCAGAGCTGGTATGGGCCCTATGGATCATTAAGTCCAGCCGCTGGCAAGGAGACAGAGTGGGGAATCAAACTCCCAACCTCTGGCTCCACAGCCAGATGTCTAAACCACTGAACTAGCCAGTGTTTTTTTTCATTTACCTTAAACTCCTATTATGTTCACAGTAAATCTGTTGAAGCTTGATGGCATATCACACAAACACAAATACACACGTATACAGACACACACAGAGAGATTAGAACTGGAAATAAGAAATTCTCATTCTTCCTGATGTTATAGCTTTTAGAAGAAACACAAAGGCTACTATACTTTTCTGTTGTACTGAAACATGTTGTTGAGTCTCAGACACACCTGCTTCGAGCAACTCCTGGTGCTCACCTTAGCTTCTGTACCACCACTCTGAGCAATTCAGCTGCCAGTTTGAGCAACTAATGTTTGGAAGTAAAGATTTTACTACTTAAGTTTTTATCCCTAGTAGTTGCCTTGAATCCTGACTCTTGCTTGGTTTGGACTGTCACTACATGGAATTTTGAATACAGAGAGTGCTAAAATAATTAAGGGAGGGGTACAGAAAAAGCAACCTTGAAAAAATATACATTTAAAAATGAGGTTTGAACATCAGTTTACTAAATGTCACTGCAAAACAATCAACCATCTCTCACACACATTGCCTTGTGAAAGCATTTTTTCATGACTGACAGCTGAATATGTTTACAAATAAATAACTGTAGTAATTGGTTTGCATTCTGTAGAAAGTTGCAGTGTATTGACACAACCAAGGGGTGGCGTTTGCAGATCCCATGACTTGATCTCCCTTACTTTATTAGATCCAGTAATTTACACACAATGTAACCCACTAGCTTAGTAACTTTTAGTTAAAATAACAACACTTATTGTAATAGTGGCAGCTTGCCAGATTCTAATTTACAGGAGTTGTATTTTTCTATTCCAATAAAAGCAGTAGTATTTCTTATTATAAATTTTCTGAGTGTGACCCAAGTCCCTATAACTTACTGGTCTGGCAAAAGTCAGTTGTTTACTATTGGAAGGGAATGTAAACACTTTAGGGAAGTATAAATATAGGGAGGCAGGAGACACACACAACAATGCATCACAAGTGCATCATAACATGCACACCCTAGATACCAACATCACTGATACTAGTGAGCAGCAGGTATCATATAGCAGCAGCAACAGTGGCAGCAGACAAGGAAAACATGGATTTTCCTCCATGGATACAAACTGGGTCAGCTGGGTGAGCATTTAAAAGATACCAACATCACTGATACTAGTGAGCAACAGTGGCAGCAGACAAGGACAACATGGATTTTCCTCCATGAATACAAACTGGGTCAGCTGGGTGAGCATTTAAAATAAATTTCTGTATGTCCAAAATTATGCTTAAAGGCTACATATTGCTCAAAGTTATAATCATGTTTTTTAACTCTTTACATGATGTCTTTTAAGAAATGTACTGTCTGCTTTTTCAATGTGCCTTCTTAGGCTATAAGTTCCTGTGATTTTAGAATGTAATTAAATCATTCTTTTTGGTATTTCTATTGTACTTTTTACGGTTCTTTTTGGTATTTCTATTGTACTTTTTATGGTTCTGTATTTTGGACTGAATTCTGACTTAAGTATTTGCCTGCAACTTAAGTTCAGTTTTCATATAAATATGAAATATAGGCATTTGTGCCTACAGTTTTCCATAGCTGTACGACTTTTTGATGTTTTTCTACGACTGTGAAATATTGTTGTGCATGTGGAATACAAAAGCAATCTCGATAAAGCTTGTAGAATTAGACAAGCAGATGTTGCCTGGAATTGCAATAATGAAAAGACTTATACCTTGATATCCAGATGAATTTTGATATGTTTAGAAATGAGTGCCTGATTTCATTCTAGAAATAACCGTTTTGGTGGGGATAAATGCCAGCTGTGATAAATAGAGGTTTCTGATTTTTTTCCCTAGAGGTTTATAAAGTTCAATAGGGCTCTTAGAATGATCAGGTATCTGAATCTCTTACTTGACTGGATCACATCACTCCTTCTGGATCACCTGGAGAGGCAGTCAGCTTTTGTAGGGGTTCTAGGCCCTGATTTTTGGTGAAGCATGACACATTAAGGTAAACGTTCCCCTTGGCAAATTTTCCAGTTGTGTCCGACTCTAGGGGGTGGTGCTCATCCCTGTCTCCAAGCCGAAGAGCCAGCATTTGTCCGTAAACAGTTTCTGTGGTCGCGTGGCCAGCGTAGACACGGAACGCATGACCTTCCCACCGAGGTGGTACCTATTTATCTACTCGCATTTACCTGCTTTCAAACGGCTAGATTGGCAGGAGCTGGGACAAGTAACGGGAGCTCCCTCCATCGCGTGGATTCGAACTGCTGATCTTTTGACCTTGCAGCCCAGAGGCTTTGCGGTTTAACCTGCAGCGCCACCACGGCCCATTCCTTCTCTGCTAAGGTTGGTGCCCTTTTATAGCCTGCCTTCCTGCGCCTTTCAAACAGGGGTGGATCAGCTCTGGCATCTGCCTTGCTGGGAGTTTTAGCGCAACAACATCTGGAGGCCCACCTTCTGCCCAGCCTGCTTTAAAAACAATCTGGCGAAGCCGGGTTTAACAGAATGACGCTATTCCTGTCATTTATCTCAATGCCAGGAAAAAAAAAACTTTCCTTGCTGCAAATTTGGCTGGTATTAAAGGGAAAAGAGCAAGTTCCACAATCAGGCCGTACTCTGATTCCATCTGGAAACGGTGTGCAATATTAAGATCTGCAAGGAAGCCGAAAGTGGCTTGCCCCCGGCTCTCACTCAGCGTTGTCCTCTTATTAATGCAGGTGTGCACTTTTGAGATTCATTTAGGCCTCCCAGTTTAAAACAGTCCCTGAAGCTCAAACGAAAACATCTGAGTCTAAATTCAGCTCTGGTTTTTGAAATGGCACACAGTCTTCTGCGTTTATGGAAAACATCTGAATGACAGACGTTCCCAAGCCAGAAGCTAGCAGTTACCTTGGCTCCTCAGTCTCGAAATGATCGCACGTCTCCGTGCCAGGAATCTCGGCCCAAATTGGCCTGATGTGGATTTGAAGCCTTCTCCAGAAAAACACTCAGTTGGGGAAAACAGATGCTGGCTGTTATCAATCTCCCTTGCACCTCATCCTGATTTCTTTCTCTCACGGTTCCTGCTGCAACTTATTGCCCATCCCGTCCATTCTAGTCTTACTCTGTCCACTTCCCCCCCTCTTGGTTCTTACAGAGCGTTGTGTTGTCCACCACTCTTACATGGACATGTTAAAGGACTCCCAAGGCAAAGCCGGTGCCTGAGGCCATTAAAGCCTCTCTCTTGAGTGTGTCATATGACACACAGTGACTTCCTTTACTCCAACAATGGGAAAAGGCTTCAGGAGTTAACCTTGAGGCAAAATCCAGAGCTGGAGTCCTGAAGGTTGTTCTGCCAACTCCTGCGACGTTGCTGGAACCAGTTGCATTGGCTCTTGCCTTTCCATCAGCGAATGTGGAGAGGGGGGATCTGCTGCTTGGGTAACAGCCTATCCTCCACATTACTTTACCCAGGCTTCATGCTCTGGAGAGGACACTCCTCGATTCAGAGCATGTTACCATAGTCTCTCGAGACCGAAGGATGCCTATGCATGGGTTGGGGAGGTGGATAATTGATGGCAACACCATGCTCTTTCCATCAGGTCACCACCTCGTCCCAGTGTTGTGTACACAGTGAGTCAAATAAATCATGAGGGCACAACCTGCCATCAAGGTCTCAAGCTTTGTGCATGTGGTGTGTGTGTGTGTGTGTGGGGTCTGTCATAGTTTTCAAGTCATTTCACATACATTCTGTTTTGATAATGCAGACAGTTAGTGCCATGGAGAGAGAATAAGAGTACACTCGTATTGGAGATATATTCAGATTAAACGTGGTTCCAATATATGTCAACCCTTCTTAGGGGTAGGGTTTTTTTGGGTATAAAGTACTGAAAACTGGCTTACCAGTTTTTGGGAGGGCTCTGGAAATGTGTCGCTAGTCCACAAATTGGCTCCTCTCCTGGGAGATGTAGTGGGGGAATGAATCCAGACCAGAGGATGGTGTGTGGTGTGGTTCAAGGATCCTGTTTTTGCCAAAACAAAATGAAGCGCTGAACTTTTTCCCCCTTTGGCACTTCGTTTTGTTTGGCAAAAGGGGCTGCCTGACCAACCCAGCCCCCACTGCTCCCATTGTGTCCCTCCCTTGGTTTCAAGCTGGCTCATTTTTCAGGGGGTGAGTGGGTTCATTAAAGTTTGTGGTTTGTGGTTCATAGGCAGTAACGAACCATCACGAACCACTGGCTTTTTCGGTTTGTGCCCATCTCAGATCCTGACTCCGAATCACTGGCTAGGAAGACAATCCGCTGCTCTAGCTCAATCTCCCAATCACAGGGGTAGGGAATCTTTGGTCCTCCAGATGTTTTGCCCTTCAGCTCCCATCATCTTTTACCCAGAGACTCCTGCCCTACGGCATGCATCGGGTCACTTGGCTTTGCAAAGTTAACACAAAGCTAATGCTCTAGCCTTCCAAAATCTCTTGTTGTTTTCCAACAGGGAATGCTATGTTCTGAAAAGGGATTAAACAGGAGATGGGGAAGGGAGTAACTTTGGTGTGTGTGTGTGTGTGTGTGTGTGTGTGTGTGTGCGTGCGAGAGAGAGAGAGAGAGAGAGAGAGAGAGAGAGAGAGAGAGAGAGAGAGGAGGAAAGAATAGAGAGAACATGCTTCTGTTCACATGCTTATATAGTGGTGCCTCGCATTACGATGTTAATTCGTTTCAGCGAAATCGCTGTAGAATGAAAACATCATAAAGCGATTTTAAAAAGCCCATAGAAATGCTTTAAAACCCGATTAATGTGTTCCTATGGGCTTGAAATTCACTGTCCAGCGAAGATCCTCCATAGCCCGTCCCAGAAAACAGTGGGCTGTCATTTTTTTTGCCCGGCGGCCATTTCGAAACCACCAATCAGCTGTGCGAAAATCTTTGTTTTGCGATAATCGGCTAGCGAAGCAGGTAACCGATCATCGCAAAGCGAAAAAAACCCATAGGAAACATTGTTTTGCGATCGCTTTTGTGATCACAAAAACTTCTTCATTATGCGATTTCTTCATTAAACAAAGCACTCGTCTTGCGAGGCACCACTGTATACGAATGGTGACTGGATGATAACCTGATGTTTCCTTTTGTCTTCTCTCGGTGGGACCGAAATCAAGAAACCCAGTAACTCTGCCCATACAAGCCAACATGTAATGGTTCCTAACCTTACCTTCTCTAAAGGGCCTGAGAGAGAGAGAGTTGTGTGAGAAAGCAAGAAACCTGGAAAGGGCAGAAATTGTGAGTCCGTCCCAGCAGTCGAGCCAAACTGGTGGGCTGGCCTACCTTTTCCCCGGGGGTGACTGAGATCCTCCAGATGCAGTGCATGTGGGCAGTATAGCCGTGGGGATACCGAGGTAAGGAGAAGTTCCCTTGGCTGTCCTGCAAGGTCTCTCCACAAGCTGGACGGAACGACAAAGAGAAAACAAAGACACACAGAATAAAGCAGTTAGAAAACTGCCAGGAAGCTGCTTCTTCTAGGCTATCCTAGGGCTTAAGCAGACACAGAGTACTCTAGTTTGAAAGAAGGGAGACCTTCTTTCCACATCTGAGGGACATCTAAGACATTATCCTCTTTGCAGTTAGATGATTGGAAACTGAAAGGTTGGCAGGTACCCCCACCCATCTCTGGGATGCTCCCTCAAACCAGCCTGCTCAGCTAGAAGCACTGGCATCAGCTGTAGATCTCTAAATATGCCTTTATGGCACTCCTCACCCCAATGCAATTTATTTTTCTGTCCAAAGGACACAACCTCTGCAACAAGAAGAACGGAAGCTTGCAGCAGACATCCATGATGGGCAACGAGCCCTCCTAGAGACCTCAATTTCGCTTCAGTCCCTCTGCTAATTATGTAGGAACAAGGAGCCGTCTGTGGCGACACAGATGAACACCAATGACACACTCTGCTAGTCTTAAGGACTAGTAACCTGCTTTTTAAAAAAAATGGAAGGAAGGGAAGGGAAGAGATACTGTTTTGATAATGCAATTATCAATGTTGAGCATGTTCAGTCTTATTTGTGGTACCTGCGCAGAGGAACTTCAGAACAGTCTTATCCCAGAGGAAATAGTTAACTAATTTTTAGCCTCTCTCTTATTCCTGAAACCGGTGCATTGGAGAGAATGTCTGCCCCTCCGTCCCTGCACCTCCTCTATCCTTCCTCCGAAGTATCTATAGCTTCTTCTGCAGCTGGGAAGGTAGCTATGGAAACCAGACCCTGATGCCATGTTGCTACAGTGACGGAAGTCAGGCCTTTAACACAAGCTGCCTAACCCCTTTACAAGAGTTTTCGTGTTCTCTTCTGTGGCTGCCCTTCCCTCCTTTTGCATGCAAGCATCAGGGGACCCGGAATCCGCTTAGGAACGAGGCCCGCCTCCCCTCCCTTGCTCTCCCAGCTCTGCCAGCGGCTCAAAACCCAGCCAGCTTCCCAAGGCATTCAAACGGCAGTGAAAAGCCTCCCCGTTATATGGCACACCCCTGCCCAGAGGTGGTGGCCATCCGCCTCCCGTCCCCTCTTAAAATCCAGCCGTGGAGGGGGAAGCTGGGTCACCCCCCCAAGGCTGCCACGTTGTCCAGCCTCCAGCCAGTGAGCTGGCCAGCTGGGACCACGGCAGTCTTTTCTGCTCTGCACCATCTGGAGCCACCCCAGCGTCACCATCTGGAGGCCAGATGATCCCGCCGGGCGGGGATTTGCTTACAGGTTGACAAGGAGCGAGATCTCCTCTCTCATGAATATTTCTCCAAATGGGCACCAAATGCACAGAGATGAAGGGAAACTGTGCTGAAGCAAAGAGGGTTTGTGTGTGTGCAAAAAGAACTACACGTATGCGCACAGAACAGGTTTTATGCCTCAGCGATGCACTTCCACTGTGATTTTTGCAAAGACCCAGGAAAACGACCCAGTGCGTTTGCTGGCTGCATAGACTCTGTGTCCTGGAAAGGACAAGACAACATCACGACGATAAAAGTGAAGGTGTGGGCCTAATTACACGTCATGCACAAACGCCTGCAACTGGCAGGTTGTCCTGGCATCTTCTGTCCTTTCTCTCTCTCTCTCTCTCTCTTTTTTAAAGGACTCTGGAGAAATCTCTGAAACAAGAGAGGTCTCCTTGGGATTTCCTTCAACCAAGAAGCCAGATTTCTAGACCACCTGTCACGTATTTATTTAGCACCTTTCTTTCTAGCCTGCTTATCTGTTAAACAGCCACCCAGGATGTTCAGTCAACAAGAAACAAATTAGCAATAAAATACAGATGGAATGCAAACTCAGTCTGAAAGCCGAACGAGAAAGCAATGAAAGAACGGGAAGGGTAAACGCAGCAGGAGGACTGAAGGACACGATTCCTCCAGTTTTCTTCCTACCTTGACTATTAAGAACAGACTTGGGCTGCAGTCCTGTATACAATTTTGTGTGTGTGTGTGTGTGTTCTGTGTTATCAAGTTGCAACTGAGTCATAGTGACCCTAATAGGGTTTTCAAGGTAAATAAGATATTTAAGGAGTGGTTTTACCAGTTCTCTGGTGAGTTTCCGTGGCTGAGTGGGGATTCGAACCCTGTTCTCTGGAGTCCTAGACCATCACTCCATCCACTACACCACACTGGGAAAACAATTATTTGGGGGCGAATTCTATTCGACTTACAAGTGGACATAGAGAGAAATAGGTACGTATAAGCTTCATTGGTGTAACCTTTGACAATCATAGGATCCATGCTTTCCTAGTATAGCCCTCCTTATGCCACAGTTTGTTTTTTGGCTGTGCTACCAGAGATGCTGAGAAGCTGTGGAGAATGATAGAATGGGCGGGTATAAATATTTTACTAATACAATAAATAAACGTAGGGATTTTCCATTTAAAAAAAAGGACATCTCTTCAAACACGGCGTGTAAATTTGTTTCCATACCCGAAATGTCCAAGAAAAAGACAACCAAATTAAGGTTAGACAGCCATCTTTAAGAGGAGAAAGGTTCAAGCATTGGGAATTCTATTAAATTGGAATTTAAAATAATCAGGTTTTTGACAACCTGGTTAGAAGTGAGCTTCGGGGCTTAAGCAGCATCACTAAGAAAATTCTGTCTTGTGCAGCGATCCGCTAAAACCCGAACCTTGGAAAAGCAATTTTTTCAGAATATAACTCCCAGAATCCTTTAGCCAACGTAGGCGCAAAGGGACTGTGGGCAGCTTGCCCAAGGCCACAGAGGCTGGCCTTTCTCCTGGGAGGCACCGTGGAGGGGAATCAAACTCACAACTTCTGCTTCTGCAGCCAGAGACCTCAACCACTAATGTAATATATAAGGCAGCATCTTTTGTTCCTAAGAAATAGAAAATATGACCTGCAGATTAATTTTTGTTTTAATGACCTTGGGCCTGTTTCTGCCTTCAGGATGGTTGCTTTTTAAACCAAGGGGAAAACACCGCCCTTTCTTAAAAGCGTTTTTACAGAAGCATTCGAAAGCCTCAGTCAGATCTGAGACAAAACGCTTTCGAAAATGCTGCTTTTTCTAGTTGTCTTGGGTGCCTTGGCTACCTTTCGCAGTAATAAAGGGAGAAGAGAGCTTTACTCCAAATTAATGTTTAACTGTGAGAAACTACCATGCCCCCCGCCACCAACAAACCAGTACACGTCTTGGGAAATCATGCATCCACGTTGTATCACGTTTAACTGTGAGAAACTACCATGCCCCCCCCCCCACCAACAAGCTAGTACACGTCTTGGGAAATCATGCATCCACGTTGTATCACATTTTGGCATTGACCTTTGGACCAGTGAGGTTTATAATATTTGTAATGTTGGGTCTAGGATAACCACACTGCTAGAGAACTTCTGAGAAGTTTGGGGGATTTCACCATAAGTCCTGTCATGAGTATTACTGACTCATGCGTCCGTTGACCACACGGCCACATCTCCTGATGTACAAGGTGGCCATGCATATCCCTGGGCTTTGGAGAAAATGCAGACATTTGTTGAGATGAAGCCTGAATCATTTCTGTTCTCTTGTGTGTGTCATGTCGGAAACTGCACGCATTCTCACAAAAGGGCCAAAGGCCGGACCATTTAAGAGGGGATGCATGACTCCCAAAAAGCCCCAGGCTGACAGAGGATGGAAGTTTGTGTTTAGTGAAAGGCTAAACCATCAGTGATGTTTACAGAACTGTATCTGTTTATCTTAAGCAGCAGATCGTGTTTTGCTTTGTTCCAATCTTCCAGGAAATTAAATCCTTTCCTGCTTGTTTTGAGTCCCACGTTCAAAATACCACTGGTGATACTGAACAGAGGCGTAGAAAATGCTTAGTTCATAATCATTACCACATTATATCAGGGTACAACAAACAATGGCTGCAATCTAGTCATAACTAAAGTAGGCCTATTGAATCAGTGGAACTGTCATGGATGTTGATTCAAGAAATCTCCACTGGTTCAAAGGGTCTACTCGAGTTGTGGCTTACTCCTGGGTTTCGGCTAGTACATCAGCTAGTACGTCTGCAAGTGCTGTAAGGTAAGACAGACTACAAGAAAGTATGTAGATATGCTTTCAGTGATGGGGCCCTGGCCAGTCATGTGCAGTTACTACTAAGTCTTCACAATACATAAGAATATACAGGGATGTAGAAAAAGTGTTTTTCCAGAGCTGCTTCTAAACTCCTTAAGAACTAAATCAGTGAGTTTGCAAAGCAGTCCAATGCATGGATAAGGCTAATCAAAAGGATTAAATCAACTCTATTTTCCAGTTGTACATATTTCTCACTTCTAAAAGTTCAGACTGGCTGTAGCTCATGGACCGGCATGGAAGGTACACCACCCCAAGATTTAGGGAGGTATCCCGGTTACAAGCCACCCATGGTTCACCTCCTGGATTGCTTGATCATCTGTTAGTTCCTGTACGGACATTTGTATGAAGCTGTATAATTAGGGTCTCGAAGGGAAGGGGTCCACCAGGAACACAGGCTTTGGTGCCTACAGCTGCCTGGTTACATCTCTGCGTGGTCTTTGTTCCAAGCTGAGTTTCTCAGACATGGATGCTGCATCACCTTTGTACATGATGTTCCCTTCCTTAGGCTGGTCTGCGAGAGAAGAGGACACGAGTCTCTTTGGTCTAGAACAATGGTTACTAGCCTTGGATCCCCAGATGTTGTTGGACTACAGCTTCCAGAAATCCTGGCCAGCACAGCTGGTGGTGAAGACTTCTGGGGGCTTTAATCCAAGAACATCCAGGGGCTCAAGATTGGGAACCACTGGTCACTCTAGAGCAGTGGTGTCGAACTGTGGCCCTCCAGATGTTCTTGGACTTCAACTCCCAGAAGCCTTCACCTCCACCTGCTGGCCAGGATTTCTGGGAGTTGAAGTCCAAGAACATCTGGAGGCCCAAGGTTGGGGACCACTGCTCTAGAGGATCTGGCATGCCTAAATTTTGGGTATTTAGAAGAACCCTGACAAGGGTGAGGGGCGTGACTATCAATAATGGAGAAATCCAGGCCAGCTGTGGGTCACCTCTTGCTACTACCTCCAGTTGCAGAGTATGATTCCCGTGAGAGGTAAATGACTGAACCCACTTAGTTCCATTATCACAAAGGTACCCCAGACCTTCAGTCCTACTGCTGCACAAAGAACATTCGGGAGTTGCACAGGCTTTAAAGCTTGAAAACCTTTTTCAGAGGCTGGGTGGAAAATTCTGGGGCTGGTGGGCCAAAAAAGTATTCTGTGAAGGGGCAGATCTACTATGAAACTAATGAAGTTTAAGCTTCAGGGCTCCTAACTCCGGAAGGAAGCCACTTTAGTTCACATATATTTTTTTAAAAAACTGGTGAACTCTTGTGGAACAACTCCATGGAAGGAGATAACAGTGATGGCCCAGACGCCATGGCCGGTCGCAAAGGGGCCCCCACAACAGTTCTAACTTCAGGGCACCAAAACTGGACGTCTGCCACTGGCTGTGTGCAAGATCTGATTCCTTGTAACATGGCGTGGAGCCCTGCAAGGGGTTTACGACTCAAGCTTTCTCCAGTCCTGCTCACTCTCCAGGTACCCAGACGGCCCTCAGGTTATAAGTTCTCTGAATGTACACTTAGGGCTCACTTAAGCTTTCTCAATCTACAGAACAGCCTCCTAGGCACATCGTGGCTGCCTCAGATTGCCTCAAGGAGAGCCGTCGAAGGCTGAGAAGGGTCGCATGCCATGCTGAAGGTGGATGCAGGGGGCAACTATGAAAAAAAGCTCTGGGGTAGGCAGACTTTGGACCTTGGGGTTGCAGGAATATAACTTTTTCCTGCTAGGCATGAGCGGGCTGGGAGGGAGCCAGACAGCTGCAGGCTCCTTGCTGTTCCCTCCCTGAGATTCTCATGTCCCCCCTCCCAGCCTTGGAGGGTCTGGCTGCGAAGACCTCCAGCCTCTCCTTGCAAGTGTTTGTTTAATACCGCAGGCCTCCCTAAAGCTGAAGGTCTCCCGCACAAGGAAGTCATGTGGATTTCCCCCCTCTTCACATGTTGCTCTGGCCACGCCAAAAGAGGAAGCGTGAAGTCACTCGGGAGTCACGCCCCTCCCCTCCTCGTTTTTTTGGCAGCTCCTTGCAACATGTGAAGCCACCTTCTGTCAACACTGAATTCACAGCAGCTTTCCTTGGCTGGGAGGAGGAAGAGGCTAAGCAACTGTAACTAAGTGCATATCTCCATGGTTATGTTATGTGGGCAGTGGTCCAGAACCCTGGGGTTCTGTTGCCTGATACGGTGGAGAAGTGTTCTCCCCCCCCCCCGCTTTGCAAACAGACAAAAATTCAGAGGGATTTACTGCAGCCCAGGCATCCAGTGGGTCAGAGTGGGGGGAAGAAAGAGGATGGGAAGCGAGAGGTAGGTGCCGGGGAAAAGCGAGCAAAGAACATATAGGAAGTGTCCAACGCTCAGTCCTGTAAGGACCTCAACTCCAAGCCTACACCTCATACATGACACCCCCAGATCTTTTATCTCCCTCATAAACTACATGCCACAGATCTTGTCACCCCCTCCTCTTCCCCGCCAACGGCTGCCTCTGCTTTGCTCTCCCTCCCAGTCCGCCTTTCCTTCTGGTTCATTTGCCCATTCAGAAAAGTTCCTGCAGGAATTGCAGCATTCCTTTCTAGAAAAACAACACCGTTCTGTTTACAAGCCTTTGTCCTCTCCACGGAAACAGACACCCAGTAGGGGATGGAGGCCGGGGAAGCTCCCAGCCAGCGCAGGCCTTGAGAGTCAAAGAGGAAGCAAAAGTTTCACACAGTCTATGGCGTGTCTTTGGCTCCCGGTCCCCGGCCTTCTGTTCTGACATCTGTTCTGCTTCTAGAGCCAGAGCGGGCGTCGACTGGAGAGTCTCCAAAGCCGTGGTGAAGGTGGGATCCATCCACCCAGCCCGGGCTCTGAAACCACGTGTTGTATCATGCTGTTTCCATTCATAAAGCAATGGGAAGAACGGAGACTGGACCATGATGAGGTCAACCCCGAGGGGGATTATAACATGCAACGGAAGAGCTGGAACATTCCAGAACGGGTTTAGTCCAGCCGCAATGAGATTATGTCAAGAGACATGAGGCAATGAATCCTCCCTGAGTAACTCACTCCCCAGAGGAGCTGCCTCACTATGAGAAACTAAGGAAGACGATCAATCGTGGGAAACGTCAAAAGGATAAAGACGATTGGATGTGTTTTGGGAGACATGAAGTGTACAAAAGTAAGAGACAGGATATATTTTTGGAGAATAAGAGATTAAGGGTGCACCCCGGCAGCAAAATTTATCCTGGGCTCGATCATGGTAAACGCTTTGAGGTGTCACCTGATATTTAGAACAATCTGTGAATCCACATACAAAGAATGGTTGGCTCCAGGACAGGAAAACACAGCACACCTCAGAGCAACCCTGTTTAGCTTTTTCCTCCCTCTTAGTCTCCATTCACCTCCCCCTGGGGGTGGGTGGGTTAGAAGCTGGATATTTAAACAGTTTATTGATAAGTGACATAGCACTACATTAGTTTGCACTGAAGTGACACAGCGCTTGATTGTAAAGGAAAGGAAGGGAGACAGGTTTCTGCTTCCTTTGCTGTCTCTGTTGGCAGAAGGGGGAAGCTGGTGGGGGGAAGTCACTTATTGGTAAGTGGCACACTGTAGCACTTTATTGGCTTGCCACACAAGTGACATAGCGCTGAATTGTTAGGGAAACACCAACCATTGCCACTTTGGTTCAGTGCCAATGATCACACATGTAAGAAACCAAACTAAAAGGGAGCAATCCTACCCATGCTGAAAAAACAGTACTCCCACCAGTGGTCTAAAGACGTGTGGAAAGCCATGGGTGAGGGCAGGCTGGTTCATAACTATCAATGTGTTGTGTAGCTGCCAAAAAAACAGATCAAAACTGACCGTGCCAAAAGTGATCCAAAATGCAAGATGAAGTGCCATCTGAATGTACCCTAAAATGAAAATATATTTAGAAATAGAAAATCCTGGGGATAAAAAAGCTGAACATAGGCCGATGTGGGGCAAGACCTTCAAATATGGCTCTCCTGTTGGCTGGGGAAACCCAAAGCATTTGCTGTATTCATGTTATTTTCATTTGTCTTATTGATAGGCTGCCTTTCTCGTGATAAGAGGTTTCCCTGGCATGACAGGGTTATTTTTCTTAGGTTGAGAGTTGGATTACATATGTTGCAGGTTCAGGTGGAACAGCCGGCTATGTTCTGCAACTGGCGGTGCTGTCTAAAATCAGGGGAGAGAAAGGTAAAGAGACAGGAGGAGATGGGTGGAAGGAAATCAGAAGAAAGGAGAGAAAGGTAAAGAGACAGGAGGAGATATGGGTGGGAGGAAATCAGAAGCTGGTCAAGGATGTCTCAGAAATGTTGACTGAGAAAAAAAAACAGAAAGGGGAATGACTGGTCTTGAAGGGATGGGAACAGCCAGAATTAATCTGAGTAGCAAACAGGGATGGAAACAGTAACTGGAGTCTCTGAGGAAAGGTATCTGGATCACTGCACGCATACTACCTGGCAAAGACCTTGGATTGTAAACCCTCTGGACAGTCTCACAGTTGTCAAGGATTCCATACCACGTACAAGACAATGGTTCTCAATTCCTAGACCCCCCATCCAGCAGGGTCAATAGTCAGAAATTCTGGGAGTTGAAGCCTAAAATATCTGGAAGACCAAGAGTTGAGAACACCTGATCCAACATAACTGAACCAACAATGGGAAACATGGAAATGTTCACTGTTATTACTATTGGGGGTGCTTCCAGATCGAGAGATGTTAGGAATACCCATCCAAAGACATTGTGCGTCTTTCTCTCCTTCCTGTGGTATGAAAAATGGCGGAAGGAGCATGAAGGAAACACAGGAGGCTTAGAGATGGAAGATGCTACTGGTTGGGAACCCAGGTGTTCTTGGACTGCAGTTCCCAGAAATCCCAGCCAGTACAGCTAATGGTAAAGGCTTCTGGGAGTTGCGGTCCAAGAACACCTGGGTTACCTAAGGTTGGGACCCATTGGTTTAGCTCCTCACCTAAAACTTCATGAATGAAGCAGGGTGATTGCAGAGTAACTGCCTCACTGGGAAGCCCCAGGGAACACATTTTTGGAGGGCAGGAAGACACTAATACTTACCAGGGCAATTGTAAAGTTTGCGGGTCTGTGCAATATCTCCTTTACTCAGCCGGGTTCGTTGGCCGATGGAGGGCCGCATCCCGTTCACATTATATTTGGGCAAGATGGTGTCAAGAAAGATCCCCCTGAAATGACAGCACAGAACAGGAAGTGAACATTCTCCGGTTCTTAGCTTCCTCCCATGGGTACCGCTTGAAGCAAAGCAACTCAGCTGCTTTCACGTAAAGGTATGCTATCCAGACCATGGTTCATAATAGCTAGAAACAACAGACCAGGTCAGATCTTACCTTTAAGTGGACAAAATGAGCATACTGAAAGTTGAGGTGAGTGATGGGCTCACATGGACTCACTCTTCCCTGCTTTCTTATGCCTTTTGCCCATTGGAACTGGGTGGCATCCAGACTAAGAAGGAGTGCATGGCATTAAAGTTCTCACATGCAGAAAACCAGGGTTAGTTTGATTTCGTAGGCAGAAGAGTGGGGTAGGGGCATATCTGAAGTAGCAGTCTGATCAGCCTGCCTGTAGATCCTTTCAATGGATTTTAAATTAGGAGGGAAATCAGATCCCTAAAATAACAGCCCAGTGGCTGAAGGAGACACTCCTGCTTTTATTGCATCAATTAACATTGCCTGCTTGTGCCGTTACAAATAACAGGCATCTAGCAAATGAGAAAAGATTCACACAGAGTTAAATTATATATCGCCATGGTTTCATGGCAGCATGAGGCCCTGCAATGGTGTCATTAAGCAGAGCATTCAATCCTCAAAGTCTACATTGCTATAATTATTGTGCAGAAATGGAGATGGGGCAAGGAAGCTGAAATCAGAGCCAATCGATTTCCCCGTAACAGCTGCGTTGGGAGCTTGCTGTATCGAGATGCGGCTGTGCCGGAACCACACCTGGCCGGTGATCCTTGGTGAAATCAGAATGTCATGCTCATTTCCTCCCCTTGGACTTATGTGCTAGTTTTGGAGTCTAGTACCTTTATGCAAGTGCCACATCTGTAAAATTACATTTACAAGGTCAACTCTGACACACACAAAAAGCGGTACATGTTGCTGCGGGGAAAACTCACACATGCCCTTATAATTAGATTGGCAGTTAAACAAGCAGAAGGGAGAAAATCAGGTAGCCCTAGCTCAGACAGTCTGAAATCTTGGGGTGCCACAAGATGGCTTGTTTGACCGAGACTTGGATTTTAATCACGCTATCTGGCTGTTGTCAGATTCACATTGGTAGAGTTGATTGATGTAACTGATCGCAACTGTTCCTATGTTAAAAAACCACTATGTGACGCAGCATTGAGATAAAGATGGGATATACATCAAGTAAATAAATATAGCAAGGGGTTTAATAACTCTCTGAAATGTCCTAGGTCCTGTATTTCCTGCAGCTTACTGAAAATTATATGTATATAGAAAGATCTTACTGTAGTTTTGCAGAAATATCTAGCTAGGGAACAATCAGTTATTTTAAGGGTCTGAGCAGTGCCTTCAGAACGTCTGCTCCTGGGACCAACCCCCCCATCCGAAGTCATACAAAATTGATATGCCATGCCACATTCTTCCTGCCATGCCTCAGTACTTCTGTCAATATGTTTGATGTGTGTCTTTTCTTACAAAAATGACCCCACCCTGCATCATTCTACTTAAAAAGTGAGAGAGGGCGAATTAGATATATTCACCGGTCAAAACCTCTGTGTTCCTTGATTGGCCAGGAAAGCTCACCGGGAGAGAGGGTGGTCACTTACGCATCACCCAAAAAGGACAGCTCTTCAAATGGATGACCGGAGGAGGACCCTTGGCCACCCAACCTGCACCTTTGATCTATATACCCCGGTACTGCCAGCTTTGACTGGCAGCCTAACTTAGAGATACAAAGAATGAATGAGTGAGAGAGAGAGAGGATATCACATACCTACGGCTATTTTATTTGAAAAAAAGTTTTAAAAGAGATGCTGGGAACTTAATACAATACTCTCTATGGAATCTTATACTCTGCCCTTGAGCTATCACTCCCTCCATTATAACAGATGGGATTGATTTACTGGCAAAATGCCCCAGTTTTCATGGCTGGGGGTGCAGAGGAGGGAGCACCTTGTTACTGCATGTACACACATGATAGAGCATAACCCCAGAGACAAGTTTAGCTCTCCCTCAACTATGTCCCATATTTCTTCATTGCTCCATGAAGCTTCGTGGGAGTAACTGAGAACCGAGCTCAACTCCGTAATTCCTTGCGCATACTAGAAAAGGGATCCCCAGGCTGTTTAGATCCATGAACACATTTGATATTTTTCAAAAGGTATTGCTGATACCACAAAATGGCTGCTGAGAAGAGGGGGTGAGTCACAAGATGGCTACCCCCGGGGGGTGTTTGACCAGCCACAAAAATATTTGGACATTGCTTTTCCTTTGATGTGAGGAAAAACAAAGAGATTAAGTTGAAAACGGAGAACCATCTTACAGGGGAAAGAGGGGGATCCTGTTGACTCAAGGACTCTTGTAGGGAAAAAGGTTTCCTCCATCCCAATGGTTTATGCAAAGGGGATCCCACCCACACCCAAGCAGAATATAGCAATTTCTCCATATGTAGATTGGAACTCAGATCAGAGATGTCCTTAGACCAAAATGTTCAGAATCACACTCTTACACCCTTTGGCCCTCCTCGGAGCTGTGTTCCAGACAGGTAACCTTTCTCACCTATCTGGAACATGGACAGAGTTCTGACTCCTGTCCTCTGAAGATGCCGGCCACGTTAAGAAGGAAACGTTAAGAAGAAAAACCTTAAGAACATGCCCAAAAAGCCCGATAAACCCACACCAACCACTTTCTCACCTTCGCTCTGGAAGGGAAAGAAGTGGTCTCCTAAATCCGTCGGACAGCTCACATTACAGGGGGGAGAGGGAGAAAACTAGGGATGATAGATGAACATCCTAAGGTAAAGGGAAAGAAGAGCTCAGTTTTCTGTGTGGTATGAGGTACATTTTGTCTGGAGTGTATCTATGTGGTTTAACATGTCTTTGTCATGTCGCTATGTTATGGGACCCAGTTGTTTATATTTTGGTGTAGTTGGTTAGCGAGGACTATAATCTTTTGCTAGAAAGCTCCACTGTCAGGGGAATCCATCTTTCTTCAGGTGCCTCATGAGAGAATCGCCAGAAATCTGATGTTTGGCTAATTCTCTCTTGCAGTTGCGTGATGTCCTAGGTGTATACACTCTGCAAAGGTATAGAACACCGGTGGATCCTACAGGTGATAGGATCTTGATCTTGTGGGTTAAACCCAATGATGAATTCTCATAGAACCAATAGGACTTGTTACATCAAATCTTGTTGGTCATGGGACATAAGATTCACACGATTATGGTCTAATCGGAACTACTATTTGGATTTAGTCCTTTACACCTAAAAGTCACTGTGAAGTCACTAGGGACAGCTGGACGACATGGGCTGTGGTGTAAGGAGTTTGCATAAAGCTAGTTCAGACAGACAAGCTTGTATCAAAGGTGCCAAAGGGCAAGCTGTTTTGGGACGCACCCGGATAATCGGAAATCCCGGCTTTCCTGCAGTTAGTGCGGAAGTAGTCCATTCGAAAAGCATGACAGCTTTTCTGGTGCTAAATAGGAAGCACGGAAAACATAGATGGACAATTCTCTGAGCAAGGAATCTTTGGAATCCAAAAACCGGCCGTGAACTTTATCGTTGCTTGTTCACTGCCAGGATCCTAATAGATTTAGAGTAACATCAGTATTTTATGGTGTGTTTTCTTCGTAGCACTCAGAAATACAAGCGTGTACTTTTGAACCTTTCCTCAAACATCTGTGGAGATGCATATAATAAAACTTTGGATAAGTAGGAACCAGAGTTTGTTGATTCTCTCCTTAGGTTATTGGAAAGAAATGAGTCATGTGGGCTGAGACAAGAACTTGGGAAGTCAAAGCTTGAAGATTCTGTTCTCATAATCGTATAGCAGTAACACAAAGAAGAGGAGGAGGAGGAGGTGGTGGCCCTGGCCCTGGCTAGATTTCTATTTCACTTACAATTAGATAAACATCACGGCCTTGAAAGCAAAATAAGAAAACACACGAAAATGTAAACGAAGGGCATAGGAGTATCTCTGCAAGTCCTGGCAATGTTTCCATGGAGATACCAGTTAAAAACATACAGCATGTCAGAATAACCCTATTTTAGTGTGATGGCGGGGGAGGCACGAAGCTTGTTATGCCCACGATGGACACCGCCTGTCAGAATGGCCTCAGGGGGTGGAGATGAATTATATGTTTAGGGAGGCAAAAGAGTGAAAAAAAACCAGAAAATTATGTTGTTTCTGAGGGAGGCCTCCACTTGGACTATCATCCTGTATCTTGTGGAAGTTCTTGACATAAATAGGAAAAGTCTGAGGGGATATTCTCTGTGGGCATGGCCAACTGTAAGACAGCATCAGAAAAGCTAGCCAAAGAGAGAGAGAGAGAAATGAAATATATCTCTCCAAGACGTTTTCTGCAAGCGAAAAAAAGAGTCTGTTTTGCCTTTTGAAAAAAATTCAGAAAGATTCTAACTTAGTGATGGAATGCATGTTTGCAGACAGAGAGATCCACATTCAATACATGATATCTCTAGTCTAGTTGGATTATAGGCTCTTAACCTGTGGTCCACGGACCCCTGTGGGGTCTCTGAAGGCTTATAGAAATGTAATGATCTTTTGCAGTTAAAATAGAATGAATGAATGAATGAATGAATGAATGAATGCAAGAAAGAAAGAAAGAAAGAAAGAAAGAAAGAAAGAAAGAAAGAAAGAAAGAAAGAAAGAAAGAAAGAAAGAAAGAAAGAAAAGAAAACATAGAATAAATTCTTAATTTCCCTTGCTTGTTTGTGTAAAACTTGGCTTTTCTAACATATGGCCTCCATTAAAAACAAACGAAAGTTTAAAAATCGGTTATAAAAATAGCTGATAGCAAATAACTGCTTGATATTTCTGCACGTGGTCAGAACATGCGAGTGAATGACGTGGAGTGGCTGAGAGACAGCACGTGACATTTCTTCCTACTCCTCAGACAGTCAATAGCTAAGGGAAGAGAGTTGAAGTCAGTCAGTGTCAGTGTGAGTGAATTTTTGGATGGACTT